GGATAGATAGATAGATAGATAGATAGATAGATAGATAGATAGATAGATAGATAGACAGATGATAGATAGATAGATGATAGATGATAGATGATAGATGATAGATGATAGATAGATGATAGTAGAAGATAGATAGATAGATAGATAGATAGATAGAAGATAGATAGATGATAGATGATGATAGAAGATAGATAGATAGATAGATAGATAGATAGATAGATAGATAGATGATAGAAGATAGATAGATGATAGATAGATGATAGATAGATGATAGTAGAAGATAGATAGATAGATAGATAGATAGATAGATAGATAGATAGATAGAAGATAGATAGTAGATAGATGATAGATAGATAGATGATAGAAGATAGATAGGTAGATAGATAGATGATAGATCGATCGATCGATCGATAGATAGATGATAGATAGATGATGATAGAAGATAGCTAGCTAGCTAGCTAGCTAGCTAGATCCTGGGGAACTGAAGTGTCAGAAGTCAGATGCCAGGAGAAGAGCCAATGCTACTCTCTCTTTTCAAAATGGGGAACAAAGAAGTAAACTAGAGGCTAGTCAATCTGACTTTCATCTCTAGAGGGATTCTAGAACAGATCATAAAGAGAAGCAGTTTAAAAATAATGTGATGATCAGACATAAACAAACACGGATCTGCAAAGACAATATTTTCAGATTCATCTTAACTCACTTTTTTTTAAAAAAAACCCTGCTTTATTAGATTATGGAAATGATTTAGGCATAGTACAACTTGATTTTGGCAAAACATTTGTAAGTCTCTTCCAACAATGATTGGTAGTCTAATTAAAGAATATCATCAAAATTAAGTGAACATATGGCTGGCCTGAAAATTGCATTCAGAGAGTGCTCATCAGTTTCTTAATGCAAGAGAGCTATAAAGCCAGACGCTCCAAGAACCAGCCCTCTGTTCCAGGGGTTCCCAATCTCTGGTCCATGGACCAGCACTGGGCCACGGCAGTCCCGAAACTGGCCTGTGCAAACAAGCAAAGCTGCATCCACAAAATGCAGGCAGCATGAGGAACTACGCCCCCTCTGGTCGATGGAAAAACCTCTCTCCACAGAACCAGTCCCTGGGGCCCAAAATGTTGGGGGCCATTGCTTTACTCTTAATATTCTATTAATTATTCAGAAATGGCTTTGGCTTACAAATTGGCATACAACAATGGATAGGATGATTAATACCACTGAAAACAGAAACCATGTTCAAGACAGAATGAAGTTTTATTCCAAGTAACACAATGCATTTTAAGAGAGATTTCTGCAAAGTTCTTTACAGGCAGCCCTTGACTTATGACCACAATTGAGACCAGAATGTCCATGGCTAAGCAAGGTGATTGTTAAGTGAGTGGCACTTGATTTTTTGACCTTTTTCTGCCCTGGTTGTTAAGCAAATTGCTGCAGCTGTTAAGGGTTTGCTTGCCATCTGGGAACATTACAAATAAGAACCATGGTGGTGCAGTGGTTAGAATGCAGTACTACAGGCTACTTCTGCTGACTGCCAGCTGCCTGCAATTTGGCAGTTCAAATCTCACCAGGTTTAAGGTTGACTCAGCCTCCCATCCTTCCGAGGTAGGTAAAATGAGGACCCAGATTGTTGTTGGGGGCCATATGCTAACTCTGCAAACCACTTAGAGAGGACTGTGAAGCACTGTGAAGCGGTATATAAGTCTAAGTGCTATTGCTATTGCTACCAACTATTATAAATACATGGTGGTTGCCCAGTGCACAAATTTTGATCTCATAACCATGGGGATGTTACAATGGCAGAAATGTGACTGATTAGAGGTCATTTTTTTCCAGTACAGTTGTAATGTTAGGAGTCACTAAACAAATCGTTGTAAATTAGCTCAAGTTTGGTGCAGAGTTACGGACACCAGAATGTTCAGAGAAATTGAAAACTCTCAAAGAAAGGCATCAAAAGTGATCAGAGAACTCAAAACTGAACCCTATAAAGAAAGCCTCCAAGAGCTGGGTATGTTTAATCTTGAGATATGATTATTGGAACAGTTATGATAACCCTCTTTAAAAACCTGAAAGGGAGTCCCATATCAGGACCTATTCCAGAATGTGGAAACACAGAATAATGGATTTAGATTACAGGAAGGCAGATTACCATTCAACGTTAGAATTTTTTCCCCAACAATAAGAAATAGTAGAAGCAATTATTCAGAGAGGTGGTGGCATCCCTTCCCTGGATGTAGTGAAGTGGCAGCTAGACTGCCAACTGTCTGAGGTGTTTTAAGATGGGTTCCTACAAAGAGCCAGGGGACTGGTCTGGCTTCACAATTGTCCCTATCGCCACCATGATTGAATGATTGTATCTTCAGACATTCTCACTCAGTGCTGAGAAGGGACAAGAAACTCGGGATTACCACAACTGGGATTACAAATATGTTCGTTGAATGATCGCTCAGTAGCAGTAAAAAGATAGCACTCTATATCAGGGGTCCCTGGTCTGTGGACCCATCACTGTTGTGTGTTATACCAGAAACCAGGCCATGCAACCAAGTGAAGCATCACTGATGCAAGCAGCACATAAAACCATGCCCCCTCCAGTCCTCAGAAAAAAAACTTTCTCTATGGAACTAGGGCCCCAAAGGTTGGGGGCCACTGGTCTATATCTCTTTGCAACCTTTAGATCATTTCAGCCCAGATTTGGTAGCCCTAAGAAGGATGTCCTGTTCTCTCCCTTCATGTTCATCTGCTTTTCTTGATTTTTCTCATCATAGCTATTATTGAGAATGATTGTGGGTGACTACAAGAAAGAATCAAGAAGAATGCTAGACATAAACAATTCACACATAACAGAGGAGTTCATCTCTCTCTCTCTCTCTCTTATATCTATCTATCTATCTATCTATCTATCTATCTATCTATCTATCTAT